TTCAAGGCAGCAATTGTCCAACACCGTTTCTTTATTTTGACAAACCCGATCTGCTTCTCCTAATATTTTTAGCTCCTCACCGAAAATTTCCTCAAAACTTAGATCTGACTCTTCTTCTTCTTCCCCCGGTCTTTCCTGAATTGAATTATCAGGGGAAGAAAGAATTGGGACAAAAATTTGGCTTAAAGGTGTTCTTTCCTGATTATCGACCTATTTTCCTGACTGTAGTGCATTCCTTTGAGTGTCTTTAGGATTGACCACAGGTTGACTCAAAATTTCTCCTTCCTCTTCTTCACTTATGGCACTAGCTAGTTGATCAATGTGGGTTTCTAATCTAGCTATAGCTTGAGTGTTAGAGTTAAGTATGAGTTCGGTTAATTGCATAAAGGAGTTCATCGTGTATGATGTTTGAGTTAACATATCTGTGGTCAGTGTGGAGGCCTTAATTATGATTTCAAAACCTTTTTCCAAAATATTGAGACGTTCATCATGATCTGTATCAAGAGGAGTGTGAGTTACAACTTGATGATGAGGAGACTGATTTTGATGTGACAGACTGGGTTGTTGAAATTGTGGATGAGAATTAAAAGGAACTGTATTTTCCTTAGGAAAATGTTGGGTCAAAGAGGGAGTGAAGTTTTGAGTTTCGGAGTGGTTTCCCTGATTCCATGCAATGTTTGTGTAACTTGCCCAACCTGGGTTGTAGGTTGGAAAAAATGGATCATTTACCGAATACTGATATGGACTCTCTACAAACTCCCGGACTTCATTGGAAATTTCAATCCTATTGGGATAACATAAATTTTGAAAAACTTGTGGATTATCTATTTGTTCAAAATGAATTTGTTGATGTGTATTGTCCCTAATCCACGTTTTGCGTGCACCAAAAACAATTTCTTTTTATATATTTTTTTTTTTGGAAAAATAAAAGTTAGTTTTTTTTAAGAAGAAAATGGAAAATCCTAACCAAAACAAATCAAAATCAATCACTTTTCAATCACTCTAACTCTAGGGTTAAGCCTAACTCAACTAGACTAGCTCCTAACCAAAAATTCCTTAAGTGAAAAGATAAAAGTTTTACCTGGGTAGTTAGCCAGGTAAGGATAGTACTAGAGGGTGATCAAAGATCAATTAAGTACCTCTTTCCTTGCGGAGCGCTTTACGCAACCCCTAAACCTTGCCTTAGACACCAACTAATCCAAGAAAACTTAAATCAGTTCACTTAAGGATTCTTTGTTCCTTATTGAGCTCGAATCCTTAGGGCCAACGTCTAATGATTTTTATTAGGCTTGGATGGTGTAGTGAGGAATTAGTGATTTTTGGGCTAAGGAAAGGGTGATGAAATCCCTCATCTTATCTTGATTATGGGATTTTGCCCTTAAAAATATTTTTAAGTGTGTGCCAAATCAAGATGCTCAAATCACTTGGTGAATTCCTACTAATAATATGAAATGCAACCCTATGAATTAAAAGCAACTAAAAAGGATGTCGTAGAAGCGTTAAAAAAAAAGGCTATGACCAAGTCTTTTATCTCATCCTAGATTATGAGAAGCGAAGTGTGTTAAGAGATAAAATTGAGATGTTGCCACCAATTACTACTAAGAGGAAGGAAAGAAATAGAACTAGACGTATAAACAACATAATAATTTACAAAACATCCACTGAAATGCTCTCTATGCTAAGCTGAAGGTCACAATCAAGCTAATTGTAACGAAGCAATTGGTAATTGGTGTGGATTGCTTATTAGTATAATATTTTTGGTAGAACAATGTAGGTTGTTAAGACCTTTGTAGCATATTGTAGAAGGTTTTTGTAATCTCCAAGATTGTAAGTGATGTGGCATAAACATGTACCAAAAAGGTTGCAAGTGCACAACCGTGTCAAGCTATAGTATTTAAGATATCGATCTCACGAGGAAGGTGTTTTGTAGGAGAAAATATAAAATCGGTTCTTATGTTGTGTGCGTGACAAATAAGATTGGTGAGTGAATATGATTGTGAAGAGATTTAAAGAGTGAAAGTGGTGTGTAAGTAGGTGCAAAGTGTAAGTGAAAGTGGATGTAAAAGAGAATGAGTATGATCAATAAGGTGAGAAGGAAAAATAAATAAAATCAAGAAACAAATAAAAAAAATCAAGAATGAAGAACAAAATTCTAGAATAAAAGAAAATACAAGAAATTAAAGATGGTGGATTCAATTATAGATATGGGTAATCTAAAATTGAACCCACTTCTTAGAAAAGGATGATTCCCTAAATCTAAACTATGAACAAGAAATAAATCTAATTACAAAGAAAATAAAAATCTAAACTACAAAATAAATTGCAGAAATTAAATGCAAGAAAAATAAATCTACTCTACAAATTAAAGTGCAAAAAGAAAATAAAAAAGACAAGAAAGTAAATCTATACTACAAGCATGAATTTAAATCTAACTAATAAGCAATAATAAAGAAATTACTAAAAAGAAATAAAAGAGAAAAGAAATGCAAACCTTCAAATTGCTCTTCATCTCCATCCTCATCATTCAACAAGAGGAGAAAGTACAAATTTAAAGAGGAAAAAATTATTTTTATTAATTGCAACTAAAGTTACAATTTTTGGAAGGCCTTCTCAATTAAGAGTAGCCCTCCTCTCCAAAAGGAGTTACAAAAATTTTCACACCCTTAACCCCTCACTCTCTACCCCTATTTATAGTAATCTTCAATGAATATGAGCCATTGGATTTGTCTTGAGCCCCAAGCAACAATCTCCACCTTTGAATTTGCTTTTTGTTCTTTTCTAGCCCAACATAGGAGGCCCAATTGATTTATTTGATTTTCAAAAGAAAATCAAAATCCAATACAATTTTCTGCAGCTCAATACAATTTTCTGCAGCCCAATTAGCAGGTCCAGTCCATATCCAGCAGAGCTTTATTTGATAAAATAGAAATGAAGAGCTAAGCAAGTCAGGCCCATTAAAAATCCAGCTGCAGCATTAGTTTTGAAGTCCGGCCCAAGTTGCAAAATATAAATCTCTAATCAAAAGCTAATCTCCAGCCCAAAGTCCAAAGTCCGGCCTTGTTTGACAATGTAAATCAAATTCGGTCATTTGAATCCCATCTCCAGCAGCTGGTCACACAAGTTCGGTCTTGGAGTTCTGCATCAATCAAATGTAGATAATTTTGAAGTCCGGCCCATGAAAAGTAAGATCCAAGCAATTAAAATCAACCGGCCCAACTACATTCTTTTCTCCATTCATTTAAGTTTCGGCCCATTGATTGCAACTGCAGCAATCAAGAAAAGTCCGGTCCCAATCATGAAATCCAATGCTTTGCATAAAAACCCAATTCTTTCCAATTATTTGCAGCCAAGTCCGGTCCTTGGGTGTAGTCATTTGTTGATGGGCTTTGGGCCTTCAAGGAGCTTGATTTTGTGGCTTCTAAAATGCTACAAAATAGAGAAGAGAGATTTTGAGGGGTTTTTACATTTAACAATATTTATTTATATTTTCATTCAATTATGTGCAAACTAAACTAATAACACTTATTAATGGTATATTTATTCATGTAAAATAGATAATGAGGGTATAAAATTGTAATAAAATATGATTATCAGAACCTCACTTCTTTCAACTCCCTAATCACACTGTCATGCATGCTGATCCGGACTGAACCAATACCACCAATAGGGCATACGTGGTCATTACTCATAACCACGACATCCCCTCTTTCCAGCTCCTCAAAGCTGGAGAACAAGTCCCTCCTCAGAAAAATATGATATGTAACTCCCGAATCCAACATCCACTCTGTAAAGTCGGCATAGCAAACCGACGGTAGTGCAGGGCACGAATAGCCTGAAGAATTTGAATCTGAATGTTCACCAACAGCTTTTGTAACATTCACTTCTGAAATTTGTACAACTTTCCATTTATTCTTTCCAGCTTTGTCCTTCAACTTTGGGCAGTCAATCTTCCAATGTCCCTCTTCTTTACAAAAACGACATTGATTTCTACCAACACTCTTATAAGCACCTCTATTTTTCTATTTTGAGCGGTTGACTTAGCGGCGGTTTGGACTACGATGTCTTCTCGGAGGGTTCACTATCACTCTTCCTCAACTCATAATTCACCAACACTGAGATCATCTCTTTGTAGCTATAATTCTTCCATTGATCATAGTGAGAACGAACGTACCATAATCATCCTCGAGCAATAAATACAAAAGTAACATTACCTTGTCTTCATCCTCAACCATGATGTCCACATTGACCATATCTGAAAGTAGCTTCGTGAAATTATTTATATTCTCCCTAATAGAAACTCCCCTCTTCATCTTAAACTAGTAAAACCTCTTCTTCAAGTGAAGCTGATTCTCAATACTCTTCATAAGATACTTCTCATTGAGTGTTTCCCACATTCTCTTTACCGACGTCTCGTTCATCACGTCATAAATAAGATCTAGCATCAATCATGACCGAATAACTCCACAAGCTCTACTATTCATCTTCTTCCAAACCTTGTCCTCCATGTCAGCGAGTTTCTCTTATAACTCAAGAGTTTCCTTTAAATTCTATGCATCCAATGCATCCATCACCTGGCACCTACATAAACCAAAATTAATCTTGCCGTCGAACTTCGAAACATCAATCTTTATATTATTGATGCTCAGGCTCTGTATCGCCTCCGTAAGAGATGAACGTGATGTGCTTGCTTCTTCTATATTGTCGATCTAACTCTTCAAATAGGAATCCTTCAGTGAGAACCCATCACGGTCGACCGTGAAAACTCCAGAAAATTTTCTCAGTCGTGTGCACGATTGTGGTCGACCATCACGTCATCCGTGGTCGACCGTGAAACTACCAAAATGTCTCCCGCTATTTTTCCTGTGGTCTTCATCGTTGTGCTTGCCATTTCTTCAGGAGCCACTAGTCTATGCTCCCATTCTCCACATATTTGTAGAACAAAAGCCTTGAAATCAAACATGACAGGCAACCAAGGATCTTCTCTATGTTCATGAGATGTTCTACTCTAAGAATCTGGACTTCTGCTGGAAAATGTTTTTCAAGCTTTCCGTCCAACTTTCTCTTGCTCCAGATTTATTTTCACTGCAGCCATGCGTCTCTCTAGATTCTTCATCCAGGGTGATGTGATACATGATCCCTTCTCCACCACTCCCAATAATATTGTCATCTGTAAGTTTTCCAACAATGTTTGATTTAGAAAACTGAAGTGAATTGAACGTTGTTAACTTCCATACTGATGAAGTGAGAGTCTCCTCTAATTTTCTCTTCCTTATTCTCTGTACTAACAAGCACAAATTTGCAGTGGTTCTAAAATCTCACCAGAGAGTTGGTTTGATGAGAGGTTAAACAAGAGGTCGGCTTTTGATGACCTATTCCAGAAGGTATTGGATCTGACAACTGATTGTTTTGAAGCTCAAATGTGGACAGATCAGGCAATGATTTAATTTATGTAGGAATGACACCTGAGAGCTGGTCGAATGACAGGTTATGTTTATTCAGTGTTGTGTTATTATCCACTTTACATAGACATCTTCTGTGTCTCTGAAGCCCCATATTGCAACAGAAAGTATATAAAATCTCTCCATGTAAATTTGATCCACTCATCAAAAGTGCGGTCAGACTCGCCATATTTCTAAACTCAAGAGAAATCTGCGAAGGAAAGACTAAGTAGTTGTTCACGGTCCATAGACCCTCGAGATTTGTTAAGTTTCCCCATTCAACTGGGTATATACCATTAATGTAATTGAAATTAAGTAATAGGTACTTCAGTGAAGAGATTTGACCAATGGATGCAGAGATGTCACCAGTGAAACTGTTGAACATTAGACTGAGATAGGGAAGTTCATTGGGGACCTGTTTGATGGTCGAGGGGATCGAACTATTGAATGTGTTGATTGACAAGTCAAGGTGCTGAAGGTTTGTGCAGTTCTGTAAGGATGTAGGAAATGAACCAGTGAGGTTATTATCAGAGAGGTTGAGCCGGATGAGGTTCCTTGGGCTGCATATTGAAACCAGAAAGGGAGACTGATACCAGTGACGTATCCGTTGGATGATAGGACTCTAGTCCAGATGCAATGTGGACTTGAGAGGGATGAGAAGGTCCATGAGGACAGAGACAGAGGGTTTTTGAAGTCTTTCTTCATCTGAAGAAGGGTCTGTTGTTCAGTTTGAGAGTTGGTTGTTGTGGTTCTTGTTGTTTGGCGCAGAGTCACCACGGAACCGATATAACGCGAGAGAAAGCCCTGACTTTTATTTTTACAAAAGCTCATGTCAACCTCTATATTCACGTTTCACAAAAAAATAAGAATAGAAGTGAAATATCTTAACAAAGTGAGATATATACTCTTCCTCTCATCTGTTCTAGGACTGAATAATCGAGAGAACCTACAAACAATAGCCAACACCCAGAAAACAATAAAGACACGAGATTTACGTGGTTCGACAAACTTGCTTACATCCACGAGGAAGGAGGAGGGGAGATTCCACTATGAAGGAGAACATTGATGACTTGTACAACCTACAAGCTTGTCCCAAAGAAGAAGCTTTGATTTTTACCCAAAAGAATTTGACCTCTCTCTTTTTCTCTCCTCAAGATCTCAAATCTAGATCTCTTTAGCCGCCGCTTAAACCCTCTATTTCTTCTCTTAACAGCCGACTAACCCTCTGTTTTTATCTCCCACATACCCTAGGAACATCTCTTCCTATTTATAGGAGAAAAAACCAGCCAAAAAACCAAAATTGGGCCTCACAAAAGCCCGCTGCTAAGACTCCGCGAGATATAGGACGTGTCTAGCTCATGGGTATGGCCCCCGCGAGGCACAGAACGTGTCTTGGGCACACACGTTCATAATTCTACACCTCGTACATCATTTGATAAACCTTAAAGTTTGGATGAACACCAGAAGAACACCGCGAACATCACCAGAGATATTTAAAACATCATACAAGGCTAAAACATGGTGTGCCACTATATCCTACCTACGTACCCTCTGACCAAAATCAAGCTAACCGTAGTTCAGAAAATTGTTCTCCGTATAGTCTCAACCTCACCCCATCACCGTCCCGCAGGGCCATGGCCTCTTGGGCAGATTAGCACGGGCTGATATGAAGCAAGTCTAAATAATACTTAAACTTGCTACCTGTGACCATCTTGGTTAACATGTCTGCGGGATTCTCATTCGTATGGACCTTCATGAGAAAAAAATCACCTTCCTCTATGACATCCCGTACAAAATAATACCTGACATCGATATGCTTGGTACGAGCATGATGAACTTGATTCTTCGTCAAGTGAATCGCACTCTGACTATCGCACCATAAGTTCACGTTCTCTTGCTCAATCCCCAAATCGTCTAGAAGACCCCACAACCATAATGCTTCCTTCACTCCCTACGTCATGGCCATGTACTAGGCCTCTGTAGTAGAAAGTGCAACTGTAGCCTATAACATCGATCACCAACTAACTTGAGCCCATGTATCCAAAATACATAACCAATAGTAGATCACCATCTATCTAGATCGTCTGCATAATCTGAGTCCACAAACCCGTCAATCTGACATGTCTTTCCATCAAAACACAACCCCGTATCAACAGTACCCTTCAAGTACCTCAGGACCCACTTCATAGCTTCCCAATGTGCCTTTCCCGGATTCTCCAAGAATCAGCTGACCACACTGACCGCCTATGAAATATTTGGGTGTGTACACACCATGGCGTATATCAAACTACTAACTGCACTAGCATAAGGAACACGCTCCATGTGTGCCTTCTCTTCCGCTGTAGTGTGAGATTGTTTACCTGAAAGCCTGAAGTATGGAGCCAATGGAGTCACCACCAATATAGAACTTAGCAACCCAAACCTTGCGATAATCCGCTCTATGTAGCCCTTCTGACTCAAGAACATTCGCTGATTTGCACACTCTCTTCTAATCTCCATACGCAGTTGTTTGGGTCAAAAGTTGATTTCATTGCCTTGAATCTATTACAACTTTAATCGTTACAATAAACTCGAATAAAAAGTTGATTTTTTATAAGATCTCCTTACATAATGAAAATAAAAATTACAACTTTCTCAAATAACACACAACAGATGTTTATCGCCTCTTGTTTGCGTGTGATCCTTACCTGTGCTAGGGACCTTGATATCCATAGACCGTCGCGGATCAGATCCGGTTGATAAAAAATTGACAGAGCTCCTACTTCACCAAGAAAGTATTCACTTGAAGCTCTGAAATCGACCAAGCGAACTCAGTAGCTCTTCTCGAGATTAAGACCAAACCTAATCTCGAGGAACGGACAGACGGGGCTTCAGATCTCTCGAACTCTCCCTCTTTATGCTGAAGTTCGTCAGGATCAGTTAGCCTCCTCTAAAATTCATGCTCCTTTGACTCCTCAATCCGGCAGCACCTCCTCGTCTTGATAATATTCCGCACCTGTGAAATGAGCCTCCTAGGTCTGTATTTATAGGCTTCGGTTAGGGGTATTTGGATAAGAATGACTGATTTGGCCTTATCTTCAGTTAATAACAGCCTAACCACGTTTGTGGATGATATCAAGTCAGTTGGGAACCCCTGAAACAGATAAATCCTGAGAAAACCGCTCAAAACCATTAAAAACGCGTTTGGTGATCAAAACAGCGCGATGGACACTGGTGACCCGCGGGGGGCGCGGGTCGGCCGTGGCCGACCACGTTGGCGCGGGTCAACCGTAAACACGTTTAGGGATCAAAATAGCGCGACGGGCATTGGTGACCCCACGCGGGCGCGGGTCAGTTGCGACCGACCCGCGCTTGCGCGGGAAGTTTGGTCTTTGCTGAACTTTTTGGTGTTTTTTGATTTTTCGGGACTTGTATTTTCTGCCGTTTTGCGTATTTGATCGTCTTGTAGACTTTCACGCGTCGTTGACTCACTTCATGCGTTCGTTATCTTCTTTACGACACTTGGAACTGACCGACAAGCACGTCGGGCACTTTGGATCTGACCGACGAGCGCGTCGGGTACTTTGAGCAGACAGACACGTGCGAGCTGACTAACGAGCGTGACGGCCAATTGGAGGTGGCCGGTGAGCGTACGAAACACAGTTGGTTCAACATTGCGGTTCATACACTTGTCGGCATCAGATAATCCTCCTAGACTCAGATAACAACGTTCGTCATCTTCTCTCCGTCTCGAGCTGTGTACGGACACTTATAGCCATTTTTAGACGCCTATAGATACCCTCTCCAAAGTGTTTCAGCCTCATTCCTTTAAAGAAGAGTCTGAAATACTTTAGATATGATGGGCCCCCACTTTCAGTTGGTGTCAAAGGACCTGTAGCTGGTTTTAATTCTGGAGTTCTTCAGCCTTTAATATATTCAGTGTTTTTGTCGTATAGATGAAGTTCTTCTGGCACTGCGTTTATCGTCTGACCATTGTCGAAATCTTGAATTGAAGTTGATGTGTAAGTTTCTAAATTTAGCTCGTGTCATTGAGTTGACTTTGAACTGATCATCTTCGTCGGAAATTCATATCTGAATGCGATTGAACTCCCTAGAATCATCCTTTAATCCAAAATTTTTCCTTAGCCTTATTTTGGCGAAACCGTCGATGCGTTGACCGACCTCGACTTTTACTGTAATACGTTGACCGTTGTTAACCTTTGCTGTAACGCGTTGACTGGTGTTAATATAGTTTATACTCGTACGTTTGCTGGAGTTTACACAGTTTAAGCTCTTAAGGCATTGGAGCGTGATGATCCTAAATTTTGGGCTACAGGACCAACTGTTAGAGTTGTTTAGTCTACAGATACGGATCTTATCCCGAAGTTGTTAGATGTTCAAGTCACAGGACCAACTAATGAAGCTAATACGTCAGTGACTTTTGCATATATAGGATTTTTGGCAAACCCTCAGCCATCAACGGGTTTGATGAGCCTTTACCGATTACCGTTTGAATCTGGCTTATGTGCGAATTGTTTAATTCTATTCCGCACGTAACGTTGTGCTAAAAGAGTTAACTCTTTTAGTGCTACGATATTGAATACGTAGATGTTCGTGGGGAAAATCGTTTTCATTGACGTCATTGTTTTCTTAAGCAATAGTTTATCGGTTACAAAAGATCCGGTCTTTTTATAAGATCCGGTTATAACAAAATCAAAGAAAAAAAAGAAAATTACAACTTTCCTTTTCTGAACAAATCGCAAGATCCTATTTTGCGGTCTCTTGCTTGTGTGGGTTCTTTACCTGCGCCGGGGTTAATCCGTGGACCACCGCGCGATCTTGATCCTGTCGGATCTACACGGTATGACGGGTGTTATTTCACGAAGGAAATAACATCCGAGGGGATTATTTCACCAAGAAAATAATAGCCCTAAGTAATCGAAATCGACCAAACGAAATCGATACTCTTCTCGGGATCAAAAACCAAGTTTTGATCCGGAGGATAACCGTGTGGATCTCAGATCTGATCTCTCTCGAACTCCTGTCTTGTTTGACGTGGATGATCGCCAAGAACCAGATCTAAAAAGTCCAAGTCTTCAAAGCTCCAAAATCCGAGGTTTATCTCTTGATCCAGCAGAGTTTCGCCTAAAAAAAGTCCAACCTTTAAACAATGAGCCTTCAGATCTATTTATAGGACAGATCTGGGCCCAGATCTGGGCTTGGCCACCCAGGTGGCTCGGCCACCTAGCCACCTCTAGGTGGCTGCGGCGTCTCCACCGAGCCACCTAGGTGGCTCGGCCATAGATCCACCAAGAGGTGGCTCGGTGAGCCACTCCTAGGTGGCTCGGTGAGCCACCTAGGAGTGGCTCGGTTTTGGCTGAGCCCTCTAGGTGTTTGCTTTTGTTCCCGTTTTCCGGTTTCGCGGTTTATCCGAACTTCATTGTTGATCTGGACTCTGATTTGGTAGTCCGGATCCTGATTTGGCAGTAAATCCACTTTGGTGTTCGAGTTTGAGTCTGCTTCCTATCTTGTTTGATGTGGTGGACTCTACGGTTGGATGACTCGTTGTTTCATCGACCTGTTAGCTTGATTTGGGCACGCGATTGGATGTATTCCGTTACGTGCGGCTCGTTAACCTCGTCGTCTCGTTAATCCGCTTCGTCGCGTGTCACTTGGCTTCGGTGTTGTGGTCTAACGATCATGCTTGGATATATCGCCCGATGGTTCGTTGGTTTGTCGAATCATCGTGCCGAGCTGTGTTAAGGGACCTATAAGCAATTTTATACGCCTACAGATACCCCCTCCAAAGTATTTCAGCCTCATTCTTTTATAGAAGAGTCTGGAATACTTTGGATATGATTATCCCGACCTTCAATCGGTGTGACAGGACCTTGGAATGGCTTCTATTCTCGATTCTTTTAATCCTCCAGGCTATTCGGTGCTTTGTCGAATGTCTGCAAGGGTTCTGGTGCTGCATTTATTGTCTGACCGTTGTCGGAATTTTGAACTTGAAGTCAAGTCCTGATTTTCTGATCTTTAGCTCGTGTTTGCTGTTCCAACCATCGATTGTTGGCGTTGAGTCTTCATTTGCAACGCGTTGTCCGGCGTTTGACACAGTTTATACTCGTACTTCTGCTGGAGTCTTGAGAAGCAATTTATACTCTTATACTTTTCGGAGTGTTGTTGAGATATCCTTAAGAATATTTTTAGAAAAATACTCTCCAGAAACTTCTCAACAAAAATAGGGAATAGTTTATACTCGTATACCTTATTGGAGTATGGCGAATGAGCTGAACCGGCCTGATAATGACCCAAAAAAGGCAGTAATTAGGCTCAAAAAATCTTCCGACCCTTCCGAATATATGGGAGAGGAATGAATAAATAAGGGACTGAACCGTCGGTCGATTTGAAGTTGTTTTGACACTCGGTTCATCTCCAATTTGAATTTTGGTTCAAATCTGGCTCAAACTGGTTCAGAACTGGTTCAACCTGGTTCAAGACTGGTCCAGGACTGGTTCAGGACTGGTTTAGACTGGTTCAACCTGGTTTGGTCTGGTTCAGCCAGTTCTGGTCTGGTTCAGCCTGGTCTGGTCTGGTTCAGCCTGGTCTGGTCTGGTTCAGCCTTATTTGAACTGATTTATCCTGGTCTGGTCTGGT